CATAGAGGAGTCTGAAAATATATATATTTACATTTATGTATAAAAGTTGTTGTTAGTTGTTCTTGAGTCAGCTCCAACTCATAGTGACACAATGTATAACAGAATGAAATGCTGCCTGGTCTTGTACCATCCTCACAATAGTACGTGTTTGGGTCCACTGTATCAGTCTAGGTCACCGAGGGTTTTTCTCTTTTTTGATGACTCCCTATTTTACCAAGCATGATGTCCTTCTCCACAGATTGATCCCTCCTGATCACATGTCCAAAGTAAGTGAAATGAAATCTCACCAACCTTGCTTCTCAGGAGTACTCTGGCTATACTTTCTCCAAGACATACTTGTTCTTTCTTTGGGCAGTCCATGTTATTCTTGTTGTCATTAGGTGCTGTTGAGTCAGTTCTGACTCAGTGACCCTGTGTACAACAGAACAAAACACTGCCCAGTCCTGCGCCAGCTTCACAATCCTTGCTATACCTGAGCCCATTGTTGCAACCACTGTGTCAATCCATCTTGTTGAGGGCTTTCCCCTTTTTTGTTGACCCTCCACTTTACTAAGCATGGTATCTTATTTGAAGGCATGTTATCATCAAAGATATTGGTAGCAAAAGACTTGAGATAATTCAGTTTTTACAGAGAATTCATCTAATACACCATGAAGGTATACAGGTGATAAATTGTGTTTTTCCATGGAAAAATGGAGAGTTCATTATCATTTTGTCCTTGTTTTCTTCCTAGCCACCATCCCTATAATTTTTTAGGAAATTTATCAACATAAGCTCCTAATTTTTGCAGTTTCCCCTTAGTGGCACTCTGGATCTTGCACATCATCTTGGTGCCAAACTCAGTGGCTCCCCAGCACAGCGATGCATGACACTAATTCCCAATTATCTTCCCATCTGCTTTTGTAAGCCAAACACCGTTATTCTATTGATGCTCTCTTTAGACCACAATGACCTCTTAACTGACCTCCTACCTACAGTCCTACCTCTACAATTCATCCTCCACATAATATCTGGAGTAAATATTTCTGTTTAAATCAGACATCACCATCTGGGAATGGTTCCTTCTGACAACATGACCAAAGCAGGTGAGACAAAGTCTGGACATTCTCTCTTCCAAGGAGCACTCCAGCTGTACTTCTTTCAGGACAGATTTGTTAGTTCTTTTAGCAGTCCATGGTACTTTGAGTATTCTTTGCTAACACCGCAACTCAAAAGCATCAACTCTTCTTTGGCCTTCCTTATTCATTGTTCAGCTCTCACCTGCATATGAGGTGATTTGAAAATACCATGGCTTGAGTTAGGTGCACCTTAGTTTTCAAGAAGACATCTTTGCTCTTCAGCACTTGAAAGAGGTCTTTTGCAGCAGATCTACCCAATGCAATACTTTGTCTGATGTCTTGACTGCTGCTTCCATTGGTGTTGATTGTGGAACCAAGTAGTATGAAATCTTAAACAACTTCAATCTTTTTTACATTTACTTGCATGCTGCTTATTGTTCCAGTTATGAGGATTTTTGTTTTCTTTATATTGAGGTGTAATCCATACTGCAGACTGTAGTCTTCAATCTTCATCAGTAACTGCTTCAAGTCATCCTCACTTTCAGCAAGCAAAGTTGTGTCATCTGCATATTGCAGGTTGTTAATGAGCCTTCCTCCAATCCTGTTGCCACGTTCTTCATATAGTCCAGTTTCTCGGATTATTTGTTCAGCATACAGATTAAATAATTATGGTGAAAAGATACAACCCTGATGCACTCCCTTCTTAATTTTAAACCATGCAGTATCCCCTTGTTCTGTTTGAACAACACCCCCCTGGTCTATGTACAGGTTCCTCATGAGTACAATTAAGTGTTCTGGAATTCCCATTCTTCTCAATATTATCCATAATTTATTATGATCCACACAATCATATGCTTTTGCATAGTTCATAAAACACAAGCATCTTTTTGGTATTCTTTGCTTTCAGCCAAGATCCATCTGGTATTAGCAATGATATCCCACTTTCCATGTCCTCTTCTGAGTCCAGCTTGCATTTCTGGAAGTTCTCTGTCTATCTACTGCTGCAACCATTTTTGAATTCAGGAGTCCATAGTATATTCAATATTTTTTTGCCTACACCTTAATTCAAATGTATCAGTTCTTCTTCGGTATTCCTTTTTCATTTTTTTCCATGCATGTGAATTGATTGAAAAGACCATGGTTTGGATCAGGCGCATCTTAGTCCTCAAAGTGACATCTTTGCTTTTTAATACTTTAAAGGCCTTTTGCAGCAGATTTGCCCAATACAATACGTCTTTTGATTTCTTTACTTCTTCTTCCACGGCCATCATTGATTGTGGATGCAAGTAAAATGAAATTCTTGACATCATCTGTTTATCAATGACATTGCTTATTGGTCCAGTTCTGAGGATTTTGTTTTCTTTATGTTGAGATGTAATCTTCATCAGTAAGTGCTTCAAGTCATCTTAACTTTCAACAAACAAATTTGTGTTATCTGCATATCACAGGTTGTTAATGAGTCTTCCTCTAATCCTGATACTGCATTCTTCTTTATGTAGTCCAGCTTCTCAGATTATTTATTTACCATATAGATTGAATGAGTATGGTAAAATGATAAAACCTTGACACTCACCTTTTCTGATTTTAAACAATGCACTCACCCCTGTACTGTTCAAATGAGCACAATTTGTTATGTGCTGTTGAGTCCGCGCAGACTCATAGCAACCCCTCCTTGGGTCGTGAAGGCAGTATCACTACGGAAGTAGATTGCCCGACCTTCCATCCGAGGAGTGGCTGGTGGGAGCACAATTTAGTGTTCTGGAATTCCCATTCTTCACAATGTTATCCATAATTTGTTATGATTCACAGAGTCGGATGCCTTTGTGTAGTCAATAAAACACAGGTAAACATTCAAAGAATGAATATTTCCAAACTTATCTTTCTCCATAGAGTTCAAATCTAAGACCTTATTAGGGTTTTATTCAGGTGATTTAAAAAATATTTATAGAAAGGAAACTAAAACTGCAAAGAACCTTAATGAAACCAGTTTTTCTTTGAATACTTGATTTGGATTTGTCAAAGTTAAAAACATGATTCAAGCAAATATAGGTCACATGTCGAAGATCAATTAACTTATTAATGAGGAAATGGTACAGCTGGTTCCAAGAGCAGGTTGAGAATCTGAGTATTTAAAGGCATTTAGAAAGAATGTTAGTGTTAGATTGTTAACCAAAAAAGTAAACCCATTGCCATCAAGTCAATCAGATTCACAGCTATGCACTAGGACAGAGTAGAACTGCCCTATAAGATTTCCAAGGCTGTAATCTTTGGAACCCACCAGCCCCTCGGGAGGAAAGATAGGTGGTCTGTTTTAGTAAACTTTTACAGCCTTGAAAACCAGGTTGCTCTGACTTGATGGCCATAAGATTGATTTTTGTTTGGTAATCTTTATGGAACCTGACTTCTACATCTTTCTTCCACAGAGCAGAACCCTTTTGGTTATCAGTTGAGTGTTTAACCACTGCACTACCATGGCTCCTGCTGGATTGTTATGTGCGATATAAAATTATTAATGTCCTAGCATAGTGCCTAAGGCACTTGACTGCTAACCAGAAGGCTGGCGGTTCAAACCCACCAGCCACTACTAGGAAGAAAGGTTGAGCAATGCTACTTCCGTAGTGATACTGCCTCGGAAACCCAAGGAGGGGTCACTATGAGTCGGGTCTGACTCGTCGGCACATAACAACACAACAATGGAATAAAACCTTAAACTGTGAGGTTATCTTTTCTTCTGGACAGATTAGACAAAATTTGCAAGTTAACCTCATAGTATCTAAGACCTAATCAATAGTGAATAGTAAAATCAAGTATATTCTCCTAGAGAATTAAATAGTCCTTGGGTCGACCTGCTAAACAGGGTCTTAGTGTGACACTGATAGGTAATGCTTCACCTATTTATTTCCAAGTTCTGTCATTTTTCTAATTATCTCAAAATAACAATTTATACCTTTTCAAATTTATTGTAAGTTAACTCACTGATTTATATAATTTGGATTAAAAATCATTTTCTCAATTGTTTTTGGGAGTGGAGTGATTAAAAAAGGGATACGAGGCTTTTCTTATTTCAAAATTTAAAATAAGCGTCTGTCACTCACTCCATGTCAAGGTCAACATGGCAGGAGAAATGAACAATGGAAAAAGGGAAGGACAAGTATTTCCAGGGGAAATGAAGGAGAGGGCTGATCATCTTCCCCTCCCCCAACAGGGTTGCCTTTATTCAAAGGGAAAATGTTTGTGGTTGTGATCTCTCCTTTCATTGTAAAGAAGGTGGTGAGTTTAGCTCCAGCGGGCTGCTCCAGGGCGCAGCAAACTCCACCCCTTGCACGGTCCCCTAGTCACCAGCTACAGTCTAGAATAAATCCTGCACTCGCCCTGCGTGGGCTCATTCACAGCTCTGTAGGCCCGGGCTAGGCGCTTCCGGTTAGGGACTGAAATAACAGCGAAGACAGATCGTGTGTGATGCAGAAGGTCCTTCGTTAGAGGCTCTTCTTTTCCCTTGGCAATACGCATACACTAAAACAAAACACAGTAGCAATGTCCCCCTCCCTCCTTTTGTTCCCTCCCCACTTCTTCTTCTGAGTTGAATCTCTGCAAGCCTCTATCCCTGGGGGAGGGGTGGGGGTGGGGTAGCTCAATAAAATTCGTAGGAGACGTCTGGAAGAAAGCAAGTCTCCTGGGTAGCTCAGCACCTGGGCAGAAGGAGTTGGGCATTCCTATTTGTCGCACCGGGGGATGAAAGGCCTGGATTAAATGCAGCGCCGGGGCTGGCGAGGCTAAGGCTCGCGGGGCAACTCTCCAGTGCTCCTTGCGGGGATTCCGGGGTCCCCGGTCCCGCCCCGCCAGCGCGCCCCGCCCGGCTCAGTCCCCGCAGCCTCGCGGGCTGCCGGGCTTTGTGGTTCGCCTGTGCGGCTGGGCCCCTGCTGGGGGTGTCGTTACGAGCATGTGCAGACTGCAGCCCAAGGTAGAGAGAGCGTGCCGGGCGAGCCCTGAGACTTGCCTTGCAATGCCATGTTTGTGTATGTGCTCTAACTCCGGGAGAGCGATCAGGGAGACGGCTCCCCGGCTGGATTTGGCTGATGTTTTCTTGTTTCTGTTTCAGCCTTCAGGATAATTCCTTCGGCAGCACTGCTGTAACAGAGTAAGTGATTCTTGCCATTAAAATAATACTTGCATGCCTTTTCTGTGGAAGCAACTATCGTGAAGGTATCCTCTATCGTCCCCAGCCGCTCTTCCTATTAGATGCATTTTCTCCTGTAATCTGGGTCTGTGAAGACCGCGAGACGTGATGACTGATGGGCCCAGAAGTCTTTACATGTTGAAAGCAGCCTTTAAGTAGCAGCGGGAGAGATACTGAAACAAGCTGAATGCTTTTGGAGGCTGAAGGCTCCAAGATAGGTGTTCTTGGAGCTAACATTTTGTAAAAAATCTGAAATGTCAGAAAAACTTGATTGTATTTTGCCAACTTGATTGTATTTTGCCAACATTGGTGTCAGTTTTCATGGAGTGCACGCTGTATAGATTTACAGCAAATAGGAAATGGGTGTGAAATTACTTGAGCTGAATGCATGTGATAAAAAGGCTAAACTTATCCACACCATCTTCTGTCTCCAGATTTTTTAAGACACAGCAGAGTAAACTTTTTTTGCATGTCCTTTGTCATTTTTATCTTCTGACCTCAAAGATCTGGCTATAGGAGTAATGATTCATATGGTCCTATCATAAAAAGTGTTGATTAGGGCAACTAACAATGTTTGAATGTGGAATGAAGGAGGGAAATGTTTTACTCAAGGCCAACAGGCACAGTATTTTTTAGGACATATTTATAGTTCATGGTTTTAATTCTCATCATCTGTTCTTAATGTGTTCTACTAATGCTAGAATATACATTAAAAAGTAATAGTATATTTTCTTACTATATATAATTTGTATAAAATGTATTGAAAAAACCAAACTCACTTCCATCTAGTGGGATCCAACTCATAGCGACCCCTCCTTGGGTTTCCAAGGTGGTATCACTACGGAAGTAGATTGCCCAACCTTCCTTCCAAGGAGTAGCTGGTGGGTTTGAACTGTCAGCTTTGTGGTTAGCAGTCAAATGCCTTGGACACTATACCACCAGAGCTCCCAATGTATACTTATATGTATGTAACATATATACTACAGCTGGCAATCTTTCTCTACACTAACTCATGATGCTTACTTCTGGGACCTTTCTGTGGAAATCATTCTAACCAATTTTTCAGGAAAAATGGATGTGTAGATTTATGCGCTTAGCTATATTCTGTATATAAAAAATGCTATGTTTAATTAAAAAATAAAACAAAACAAAACAAAAAACAAGTAACTTGGGAGCTGATTACTAAAGTTCCATAGAAGGGAAATAAGTAGAGACAAATTGAGTTTCAAGTCCCACCACCGTCACAATGCCTGGGTGATGGAGGGGTAAGGTCCCACAGTGCACCCCAGCACCTGTAGTTTCCCATTTTGTTTCGTTTCTCTGGATGGATGTGCTACTCTCTAGTGTCCAGCTTTGAACTCATTTAAGTGGAGTCACTTTTAAAGGAGCAGGGTTAAGTTTAGAATATGCAACGTGAAAACCTCATCTGGACCCAGATCCTTCTAATGAGAATGCTTGGTAACCTGTGCAGAAACTTTGCTTTTCTAAAAGCCTGAGAGATGGGAAAGATGCTTGCAAAGGGATACAGGCCAAAGATGAAGCCTTCGCTTCCTGGTTTTGGTGTACAGGTACTGGCCTCTTCCCTTTGCTGTGCTTATGAGCTTCAAATGCTTTCAGAGCCTGATTCTCAGAAACGCTTTGTGGCTGAATCCCCTTAGTTGGCATAACCACTTTCAAAATAAAGACACTTAGTTCCAGATTGCACACAAGCAGGTTTTTTACGGTTAAATGCTAGTGAGAGTCTGGTACCTTGTCTCTGGACACTCCGCATGGAGTTCTGATTGCATAAGATCATGTTATTACTTTCAGAAAGTGACAGTGATTTGTTTTAAAATGCACCGAGTGGCAACTGGAATGCCATATGGCTAATTTACAAAATCTAAAGAGAATATTTAAAGCATACCAAAAGCTTTGTGCATGTAACACATCATAGACCAGAGTCATTTAAAACTAGTCATTGTCTAATAAAATGTTTTCCCCTCATCTCTTTTTCTTGGCTCTCTGGATGTGTTCCCATGGCCAGCAGTACTAGAGTGCCCTGTGTTGAAATGTAGATATCACAGGTGCTCAGGAAATATTTGGATGAGGCCTTGGCATACACAGAGGAAGCACTTTCCTTTAGTATATGTTTTGGATACAAGACAACTTCCCCTGTCTCTGCCCCAACTTCCACTCCTAAAATTCACCCACTTACTTTCTTCTCTGCATGAAATTCCACTTAGAGATGACTTCTTTTGGATCGAGCCATCAATGGTAACCCTTACTAAAATGGAAATTAGCTTGGGAAATAATTTGTCATTAATACTTTAATATAAACTATTCTATGAGATATTCAAACCTAACAAAGTTTCACTTGGCCACCTGGGCACCTTATAAGGGAAGGGAGATTGGAAGGGATTCAAGGACAGTTTTTATTTACTTCTTGGATTTTTCCTAGGTCTGGCACTTTCTGCAACTCTGGATCAATGCAATTTATTTTTCTACCCAAATTCTCCCAAAATTGAAATGGCCTTGACCTTTCCTTCTATCTGTGCAGCACCTTTTCATCCATTATCTTTCCAGGGCCATTTCCTATGTTGTCCTGGCTAACTTGCTATTTTAAATGAAGCCTGGTGCGAAATGAATTCTGACTAGTTATCATCTGAAGCAGAGGTTCTCAAAATCAACTGATCATCCAGATTAACCAGGGATGGAGAGAGAGGGACTTGTGATAAATAGTTTCCCAGACTTTCTCCCAAGGAAAACCAGAATACTTAACTATAGGAGTCAGCCCAGAACTGGTCTGGGTTTGGGAAACCTTTACTGTTGATGTTAGCTGCGTTTGAGTTGGTCCATCCCTCTGCCCACTCATGGTGACCACATGCACAACGGAGGTAAGCAATACTGTCCTCTGCTATCCTAATGACCTGTTGCACTTTGGATCATTATGAGGCATAAGATTTCCATTGTCTAATTTTTGGAAGTAAGGCATTCTGTATGGAAGGTAAGAATTCTACCACTGAACCTCTACTGTCCTCACTGGAAACCTTTAGGTCAGTATTAAACTGTTCAGAAGCATAGTAATTTTTGTGTGTGGGGCATTCTGCCTTTCTTGGGTTGCACCCTCAGACAGTTGAACTAGGGCCTGGGAGTTGTGGGCAGGAGCGTGCCATTTTGAACAGGCACCCCAGGTGGTGCCAATGCAGGTGGTTCTGGGGCCATGGTTAGAGAAACCTCACAGGAGTCAGTATTTCTGCAATTTTGCCTTATGGGAACATGGTGCTACAGGGTAAATAGAAGTCCCCTTCTAGCACTGATGAACTACATTTCATATAATCAGAAACCTGAGGCCTTTCTTCTTACTTACCACTATTTGGAAAATAGAACTTCTGACTGGTGCTTATTTCCCTATCGTTATTCTAAGAACAAGTGGTTCTCAGTTTATGAGCACTGCAGTCATGAGTCTCCGGGAAGACAGACAGAAAAGAATATTTGGTTTCTGCTTTTCTGGGTTTAGGGTGGTGGAGCAGAAGTGACACTGATTTCACTGTTTTCTGCCTTGGAATCCTGGGCAATTTTTTAGCCTTATGGTGTGAAGGTAATTCCTACCTCACAGAGCTGTCAGGCTTAAATGAGATAATGTGAAAGAGAAGGTGAGCTGTGAAGTACCCTACAGATTTTTTAAAAATATATTTTATTTTTAGAGCAGTTTTAGGTTTACAGGAAAAACAAAACAAAACAAAACCCTGTGCAGAAAGTACAGTATCCCATGTCCCTCTGCACGCAGTTTCTCCTATAACCATGTTCTAATCGATGAACCAGTATTGATACATTATTATCAATTAAATTCTGTAATTTATATTGTTGTTGTTGTTGTTGTTATGTGCCATTGAGTCGGCCCCGACTCATAGCGACCCCTCCTTGGGTTTCTGAGGCAGTATCACTACGGAAGTAGATTGCCCCATCTTCCTTCCGAGGAGTGGCTGGTGGGTTTGAACCGCCAGCCGTCTGGTAGGCAGTCAAGTGCCTTAGCCACTATGCTACCAGAGCTCCCGTAATTTATATTAGGGTTTCTTTTTTGTGTTGTATAGTTACATGCATTTTGGCAAATACATAATGTCATGTTCCCACCATTACAGTATCATACAGAATAGTGTCACTGCCCTGAAAATATCCTGTGGTTTGTCTATTCATCTCTGCCCCTCTCTCTCTGAATCTCTGGCAATCACTGATTTTTAGCATCTCTATACTTTTGTCTAGGAGCTCCGGTAGCATAGTGCCTAAGGCATTGACTGCTAACCAGAAGGCTGGCGGTTCAAACCCACCAGCCACTCCTCAGAAGGAAGATGGGGCAATCTACTTCTGTAGTGATACTGCCTTGGAAACGCAAGGAGGGGTCACTATGAGTAGGGTCCAACTCGAGGGCACATAACAACAACATACTTTTGTCTTTCCCAGAATATAATACAGTGTATAGTTTTTTGAAACTGGCTTCTTTGACTTAGCATTTAAGGTTCTCTCATGTCTTTTTGTAACTTGATAGCTCACTTTTTTTTTATTGCTGAATAACATGGGCATAACACAATTTGTCTGTTCACCTAATGAATGACGTCTTGGTTGATTTTAGTTTTTGGAAATTATGAATAAAACTGCTGTAATATTTTGTGTGGGAGCTCTGGTAGCTCAGTGCCTATGACACTTGACTGCTAATCAGAAGGCTGGTGGGTCAAGACCACCAGCCACTCTTCGGAAGGAAGGTTGGGCAATCTATTTCTATAGTGATACCGCCTCGGAAACCCAAGGAGGGGTCGCTATGAATTGGGTCCGACTCAACGGCGTATCAAAAACAACAACAACAATATTTGTGTACAAGCTTTTGTATAGACACACGTTTTCAATAAATTTGGGTAAATAAAGAACTGCAATTGTTGGGTCATCTGGTCAGCCTATGAAACTGCCAGATCTTCTAAAGTGGCTGAAACATTTTGACTACTCACCAGCAGTGAATGAAGGTTACTGTGGCTTCCCATCTTCCTCAGTAATTGATAATGTCAGTTTTTTGGATTTTAGCCATTCTTATAGGTGTGGAGTATCTTGCTGTTGTTTTAATTTGCAATTCCCTAATGATATATGAGGGAAGGTTGGGAAATCTACTTCTGTAGTGATACCACCTTGAAAACTCACAGAGGGGTCACTATGAGTCGAGTCTGACTGCATGGCTCATAACAACAGTGATATATGAAGGAGCCTTGGTAGTACAGTGCTTAAGTGCTTGGCTGCTAATAGAAAGGTTGGAAGTTCAAACCTACCAGCTGTGCCATGGGTGAAAGATATGGCAGCGTGCTTCCATAAAAATTACAGCCTTGGAAACTCAATGGGGCAGTTCTTCTCTGTCCTGTGTGGTCATTCTGAGTCAGGATTGACTCCCCAGGAGTGGGGTTGGTTTTGGTTTAGTGACAGGATATTGAGAATCTTTTCATACGCTTATATTCCATCATATATCCTCTTTGGTGAGGTATCTGTTTGCATCCTTTGCCCACTTCTTAATTGAGGTTTTTTTTTTTTTTTTTAATTGTTGAGTTTTAAAAGTTCTTTGTATATTATACAACAATCAATAATACAATCAAGTACATGATGAACACTTTCTCCTAGTCTGTGATCACATGTTTTTGGTTGATACAGGGAACAAAAGTCCAACTAGAGAGAAAAGTAGCAACTCTGAGCATTTCATGGCAAATGGTAGCAAGGGTCAATTACTTATATAGTGTTTGGGCATCTGCGAATAAAGAACTCTGCAACTTGGATTCCAGTTGATGAGAATTACAGAGGAAGTGATCTAATAGAAAGGTGGCTTGCACTTTTTTTTTATTGCCAAAAACGGGAAAAATGATGTATGTGTATGTATAATCCAGCACATATACACATACATCATTTAAATGAATTTTGTGAAACAGCACTAACTCTTAATATACTGGTATTTTCTATTCTGTTTTTCTGAAAAAATAAAAGAAGGTTGCATTGATCTTTTCTAAGGACTGATGAATAGGTCATCATCTATAGCATGAAAAAATTGCAGTAGAAAATGCCAAGTATTGAAAATCTCAGAGGGAGACATTGACAGGGATTGGTTTTAAAATTCCTGTAAAAAGCAGCAATGTAAGAAGAGGAGCATGCACAACATCAGCTGGGCACTTGGTGTGAGTTGATTTTCTTCCAGTAGTGGGGAGATCTGGATTTCGGTTCCCCCACTCTTGAATCCAATTTTATATGGGCCAGTGGTACATTTACAGGCGGCTTCTGGCAAGAATGCCATAGAACAATCAAGAAAGGAAAAAAAAAAAGAAGAGTAAAAGAAACACCCACGTTCTTATTCTCCAATAACCTCTGACTCATGATGACTCATGGTATGTCAGAGTAGATTTTTCAGAAGTGGGTTGTCAGACCTTTTCCTCTGATGAGCATCTGGGTGGACTCAAACTTCTAGCCTTTCCGATAGCAACCCAGTGTGTTTATTGTCTGCACCACTCAAGGGCTACAGGGTAATCAGAGAGGCTGTTAATTGACTAGAACTTGATGATCTTCATCAAAGTAAATGAAACTCAACTAAAAAGAACTTCCATATGTGCGCCCATAGAGAGATCTATTTCAGATGCTGCATCTGTGAGCTTGGAATTGTGTTTTCTTGAATGGAGACTGGACTTTTTCAGCAGGCCTTAAAATTAGATCAACCAATTAGGCCTAGTCTTATACTTCAGAAAACATCGGCAGCTTTTTATGTTTTGGTGCCGAGCTTCCATTTTAGTTAATTGTACTTTGAAGAGAAACATAATAAATCAAATAAGGAGAAAAAAATAAGTTCTTGCCAAATCCCCAAACAATAGGTATTGTTGAGCTCCGGCGGTGAACCTCTAGGTGCGACTCAGTTCTTTGGAAGCAACAATTGTAGATTTCTGTTCTTCACTGATTTTTTTACTTTGCTAGGTTGCTTCTACTGGAAAACATTTTTATTTGCGTTACAAAGCCCAGATTATCTGTTAAAGTGAGTGTCTCTAATGGAACAGAACAAAGCAATACTTGTCAATTTAATTGTTGCTTTTCATTTTATGAGCAGAGTGGGTTATTGGCAAGTTGGAAACATGTGAAAACAAGGAAATTTAGTTCATTTTGTTAAAAGACACGTTTTGGTAAACTGACCGATATTTTTAACTGCCACAGAATAAAATATTTCAGCAGGTAGAGAGGGTTAGAGTCTGTAGGTGGCTTTGTTTAATTCATTACAAACCCATAATTTAAAAGGATTCACAAGGGAAGAGGACTGGAGCTCTTGTGGATTTGTTCTGTGGGTCAATTATACACCATTAACAGTGAAGAATATTTTAAAAATTTCAGTGATTACATAGAGTATAAATACTATGTGATTTTTTTATTTTTATTTTTATGATATTCTCAGTACATTATGGAATCTCAGTACTCTGTAGAGATCTGACTCTAGGTCTTTTTCAACTTTGTGTCCTTTAAACACAAATAGGGATTTGGGGCAGCATGGGTCTTTGAATTGCTTATAACATAAGCAAGACAAGAAAAGTACAGAAAATAGTGAATAAGCTTATAGGAATTTGACAGTGCTAGCTCGGGTGATAGCCAAAAGGTTGGCAGTTTGAACCCATCAACAGCTCTGCAAGAAGAAAGACCTGGTAATCTGCCATTACCCAAAGCAGATAGAAGCGAACTGCCACATATTTCTCCCTTGGAGTAGCTGGTGAATTTGAACTGCTGACCTGTCAGCAGCTGAACACTTAACCACTGTGCTACCAGGGCTTCTTCCCTAAAGATTATAGCCTAGGAAACCCTACAGGGAAGTTCTACTCTGCCCTATAGGGTGGCTGCGAGTGAGAATCAACTTGACTGCCTACAACAACAATAACATAACATTTTTACCAAATTATCTGTCTGCGGTGGATTGGAAACAAAAAACAATCTGGTTAGTCTCACACCTCCCATAGTTTGAGAAGCACAGCTCCAATGCCTAATGCAGAACCTAGAATGCTATAAATGCTTATTAATTTAGGGCCCAGCCCTGCTGAGGGACCAGGGGCAGTGATTCAATTCAAGCATTTATTGACTTTCTGCTCTGGGGTTGTACTGTGCTAGGCACTGTGGTGGTATACCTAGAAAAAGAAATCACAGTTATTTCTTCTTGTGGAATTAACTGATTAAAAAGATCTCAGAAGTAAAAAGCAATCAAGTAACCCTATGAGGCAGGATATAAAACCAAGAAACCAAACTCGCTGCTGTTAAGTTGGTTCTGATTTATAGCAACCCTCTTTGGGTTTCCAAGGCGGTAAATCTTTATGGAAGTAGATTGCCCAGTCTTCCTTCCATGGAATGGCTGGTGGGTTTCAACCACCAACTCTCTGCTCAGCAGTCAAATGCCTTGGGCACTATGCCACCAGAGCTCCCCGGCAGGATAAAAGTGGTTACTAAAACCTGAGAATGAAGAGTGAACATTTATGCATTAAAGTTGGAAGTAGGGTAGACTTGGCTGGGAAGGTCCAAAAAGCTTGTGGGACCTGACTAGGGCGGTGAAGGATGAATAGGAATTGAAGGTGGAAAAGCATTCTACGCTTGGGTGAGATGGCTGAAAATAGGAACAAAGGGTCCATGGGACATTAAAATGAAAGAATGGTCTGTTCTCAACACAAATGCTTACTCTACATCACTCTAAGCAGTGTGAAGCACTGGAGATTTTGCAATATGGAAGAGTTAAGAATCTTTCATAAGGTTAATATGGAATTTTTTAAAAAATAAGGGTCCAGGAAAGTCTAGAGGCCAATTTGGAGGCCACTCAAGTAGTCCAGATCACAGCCTGTGTGGTCTGGGACTGGTAAGAAGCAGGAAAGACAGAAAGGGATATGGAGTAGGGTCTCTTTGGAACGAACAACAGTTCATCCATCTTGGTGTCTGATGCCTGTAAGTGATGTGAGCATGTATGTCATTGCTAAGGTTGTGTTAGCATTAGGTAGAAAAGCAGTGGAGAGTAAAAAGGAGAATCACATCTGGTTCTGAGCTTTGAAGGTCACATGATACAAAAACGTTGGTATTGTTGCCTAGTGGAATTGTTGGGAATGGGAGTTGATTGGGAAGAGAGCAGGGAAGGTTGTTATATTTTTTGGTTTAAAATGCTACTCTTGAGATAATTGTAGCTGATTGCTGCTACTGCTGTAGCAGACAGTGGGATCTGACATGGTTTTTTTCGCTCTCCCTAGGTGTGACGAAGACACAGTCATTTTACATGAAGACCAGACTGATTGCTCCAGTCTCAGGTACAACCCACCATTGCTAGTTTATGAAGGACAGAAACTCCCTGAGTCTGGCGCCTTTAATCTCTCCTTTGACTTCTAATCATATATTCATGGATCTCATCTTTTCTACTAGCTTTCCCGCTCTTAAGGAATGTTTTGTCTTGTCCACCTTTGGATGCCCCGCTTAGCACCCAGTGTAGTGCTGGCATAATATGTAATACATGCCTGTTGAATTGAGCACTGAGTAGCCCATCTTAATGCTCCCATAATAGAGCCTAAGGAAGAGGCTCTGGATTTATTCACATGTTATTGTGTGTCTAGAGTCTGGTCTTCATACTCAAGGTACGTCATCATGCTATGGTGGCAAAACCTTCATAGTTAACCATTTCTTCACCATTTACTTTGTACCAGCCACTTCGAGGCACATTTCATTATATTATCTAAACAAGTGAAAGGAAGCTGATGTTTCTCTCCTCAGTCTGTAGATGGAAAAACTGGGCCACAGACGAACTAGATGTTTTCCATGCTAACACAGCCACTGTGAGGCAGAATTTGGACCCAAGGCTGTCTTCTCCATTATCTACTTACTGGATAATGAACATTTATCCAAGGCCTATTTTGTGTGTCAGAAACCATTCTAAATAAGGAGTGGAGAAAGGCAAACAAATCCCTGCTCCCAAGAATTCATTTTCCTGGAGGAAATGATAAGAGTGTAGAAAATGAGTAGTCAGGGTACTACCTGCTGCTAAGCTGAAGGTAAATAGAGGATTCATTGAGAAGGACAATTAGTCCAGAGGGGCATCGGGGATGGTTTCCTGGTGAAAACTACACTGAACTTTATTTATTTGTTCATTCATTCATTCATGGGTCTAATGCCAAGAAGTAGTCCTTGGGTGGTGCAAATGCTTAACAGATTTGATTGCTAACTAAGAGGTTGCTGGTTTGAATCCACTGAGAGGTATCCTGGAAGAAGAACTTGGCGATTTACAGCTGAAAGATCACAGCCATTGAAAACCCTATGGAGCACAGTTCTACTTTGACATACACACATGGGCTGCCATGGGTCAGAGTTGACTCGATGGCAACTGGTAGGTAGATAAAGCCAAGAAAAGGATGAGGCCACCAAACAGAGGGACTGTCATACTGGAAAGTCACAGGGGGTGGAATAGTTTGAGTTGAAGAACAATAGTCAGTTCAGGATGGTAGGAGCACTGAGGGCTGGGTGGAGGTGAGGAAACAAGGGTTGGTGAGAAACAAAGCTAGAGAGATAAAAAGAGTTTCAAAGGATTCATGTGCTTTGCTACCTAGAGGCACTGGGAAGACTGAAAAGAAGCCTCAGTTTTTTTCCTTTGCCAGTAACCACTTGCCTAATGCCCCATATGAAAGCACCAATGTTGTTGTTGTTATGTGCCTTCGAGTCAGACCCAACTCATAGTGACCCCTCCTTGGGTTTCTGAGGCAGTATCACTACAGAAGTAGATTGCCCCATCTTCCTTCCGAGGAGTGGCTGGTGGATTTGAACGGCCAGACTCTGGTTAGCAGTCAAGTGCCTTAG